AAAGAAAACTACACAAGCCATTGGATTAAATCAGGTCTTTCATGACAGTGCTGTGGTAATTAAACAGATTCTTGGTGAAAGGAAAATCTTTAGACCGTAAAGATGGATGAAATGCCCTGTGGAATTTTGTCATTTAGGAATCCAGCTGAGTGGAATGGTCTTGTGTGCTAAATGGCATTTTGTTTTATTCTGGTTGTTGTATATGGTTTATTTTAAGGAAAATGCCCCAGTAAAGGGAGCTGCCGAAAAAAAGTAAAAGAAGAAAAGCATTATTTGTCGTCACTGACACGTTATAAGCAACAGTCATTGGTTATTTCAGCCATGACCTCAGCGGAGGGTGGCGGTAATGAGTCACAATGGTGTTTGTTAGCACTCTGAGACGATACAAAGAAGGAGACGGAACGGAAATTACGGCAGCTCCTTTCCCGAGGAAGCTAGATAAACAAACAAAAGCAAGACATTATAATACATATATTTAAACATCTCGTACGATTTTGATCACTTTTTATGTATAGATATGCTAACCACAAATAAACCGAACCACAGAATAAGCTAGAGAAGGGCTAGCATCCCGGGGCGTTTTAATGATTTCTAGCATCCTGCTAGCTGAACGAACTGGCTGGCTACGCAGCTAAGGTGTTAGCTCGACATGTTTATTTTAGCGCTTGGGCGAAGGAGCGTGACATGATGGCGTAAAACTTGCAGTTATTACCAAATAGTCACACTTCCCACCTAAAGGTAAGCTTTGCAGTTCCAACGACTTACGTTACTATGTGAATAAAAAAAGGTAAAGACATAAAGTGTATTTTAGCGTGACACAAGTTAGTGTGTGTAAGCAATACACAGTTACATAAAACGTGTGTTAACGACTACCGTTAACCACGGGAACGCTGCTTTCCTTTATGACACCTGACTGGTTCGTGTTTTTAACATGTTTGGGGAATGTCCTGCTAATAAACACAGAAATATCCACTGTTTTTTAAACATCAGAGCCACACTTACGCATTTTTTTTTTTAACTTTCTCTTCTAAATCTTGAAAGGCTGTGAGAAACTGATAACGTTTGCCTCGAGTTTCAACCGGAACTGCACTCCGTTAAAATCTCCACACCGTCACCATGGCGTGGGCTCTGAAACTGCCTCTCACGGATGAAGTGATTGAGTCCGGACTGGTCCAGGACTTTGATGCCAGTCTGTCCGGCATTGGCCAGGAACTCGGTGCGGGGGCGTACAGTATGAGGTACAGTATGAGTTTTGGACGGGTAAGGCCTTTTTACTGAATGCTGCCAGTGCTACATTTATAATGGGCCATATGGTAATTTATTAGATTAAACAGTGTTGAACAGTGTTTTGGTTTATTTTTTATTTTTTTTTTAAAGATGTAAGCTATCTTGTAGTTTGTCTTCAGACAGCTGCTCATGTCAAATTCATTTGGACATTTTGCGTAATTTAAAGATGAGTGATCAGGTGCATCCATTATGTGCAGTGTTTCCCATTTTCTGACTGCTACGCGGGCAGTTTGAGTGGCAAAATCTCTTCATGCTGGCAGACGTGCGAATTAAATGCCATGTGCAGATAAAGTGAAAAGCCAAAACACTACTTGGAGAATATTAGCTGGAGTCTAATAGTCTTTGAAGAAAATAGTTCCCTGGGGCATTTGATCTATCTTATCACTCTGTAGCATATCCTGAATTCATTAGTGTAATTATCTGCAGACACTTCTGTGCTTTTTCATTTGCTGTAGCTTATCTAAAAGTTTAAAGAAAATATTTTTTGCTGATTGAAGTACTTTGCACCAACCCCCATCTCTTTTTGTGTGCTTTTCTGGCTCATTAAAACTGTTGAAAGTGGTGGCTTGTTTCAGAAATTCTTGTGTGGAGAGGAACAGTGACATGTAGACTGGATACCTTGGTATTTGGTAGTGTTGCCTCCATTATAGTTACTGAGCTGTGAAGCTAGAGAACACCATAATTCTCCAGCCAGTTTTAAGTGTTATTTAGTAATGACAGAGAGACCTTTTGTATCATGAGGCTGAAGGTCGTATCGGATCAGTAAGTATAAGTGTTTAGACTGGTTTTCTGTAAACTCTTTGAAAGAAGCCCTGTTTTAATAAAATATGTTCTGTATTGCATAAGGAAGTGATAAGAATTTGGCGGCTTACCGAGTTTGTTTTTCTTTTGTCTCTGCAGCGATGTACTTGCCCTTCCTATTTTCAAACAGGAGGAGTCCAACCTCCCACCGGACAGTGACAACAAGATCCTACCCTTTCAGTATGTTCTGTGTGCACCTACCTCGCCAGCCGTTAAACTGCATGATGAAACACTCACCTACCTCAACCAAGGTCAGCATCAGGATCCCAGCTGCTGTGTACTTTTCAACTTTGTGCAAATTTAATGCTATCTAAGAGTTCAAAGTCAAAAGCTGCTGAGAGAAAATTCAGCTGCCTACATATATATTTATTTTTTATGTGGACTTGTCATTGCAGGGCAATCCTATGAAATTAGAATGCTTGACAATCGGAAAATTGGGGAACTTCCAGAAATCACTGGCAAAATGGTGAAGGTAAGAAAATTTTTAAAAATATATTTGCATAATCCAGCAGCTGCTAGTGTAAACCTGTATAAATATTATTGGAAAAGCTCCAGCCAACGGCTCATCTTGCATCCAGCCATGCTTCACAAAATCCCAGGGGGCTGCGAGTAGAATGGAATAAGTAACTCCAGGGTTAGATTAAATTAATGGATGATTCATTTTTGTGTGATTACATTTCTTATATTCAGTGTAATATGAATTTTAATCAACTTTTACTTTGAAGGTATCTTCAGTGTGTCAGAAGCATCTCTTCAGTGGTGGAAAATACAGATTGTGTGTGTCTCAGCCAACTTCTCAGCCAGTTGTCTGTAGTCTCAAAAGTCTCAAAGGCATTTTCTTAGTATTAAAACTATACCTAGAGATTAAAAACAGTCTAACAGCTAAGATCTGTTTTATTGTTTATTGCTGAAGTGTTTATGGGGAATGAAATGGCCACTAGGGAAAGGTTTTGGGACAAAGACCACATCTGGATGAATCTCCTTCACACCAGCCTTTTGTAAATTGCTTAGAATCTTATATTGTTGAGTAGTTAGGCAAGCTAATCACATCGCTTTATTGCAAGGCTGAACTAAGCCCTTGTGCTGGGGTACCAGGGTAACAATAGTGTATATTCTCTTTAATCCTTCAGTAAAAATTACTTTCTCTGAATTTCAGAGCATAATTCGTGTGGTGTTTCATGACCGACGACTTCAATACACAGAGCACCAGCAGCTGGAAGGCTGGCGCTGGAACAGGCCAGGGGATCGCATTCTCGATCTGGGTGAGCATTAAAAAATATTTTTAAAAAGCTAACAGAAAGATCAGGTATTTATTTATTTATTATACTAAATTTGTGCTTTGCAATGTGGTTGCTGTGTAGCCCTATATGTATGCTAACAATGAAGTAGATTTTGCAGAAAGTAAATTCAGGATACCAACTGTTAACCAAAACCGGAAATTCATACTCATGGTTGCAATAACGAGAAGATGGTGTATATTAAAAGCATCTTTGATAACTGCTTGTTTTGCTTTGATCCATTGCAGATATCCCGATGTCAGTGGGGATAATTGACCCCAGGGCTAACCCCACTCAGCTTAACACGGTGGAGTTCCTTTGGGACCCATCAAAAAGAACCTCAGTTTTTATCCAGGTAGCTTGATGGGCAACACATAGTAATGAATGTGTAATTAATTCTTATTCTCTGTATTATTAAATTAAAATGAACAATAGTGATATGAGGCCGTTTAGAGTGCTTTGGCGTGACGGAGATGAGCCTGTTTACATTTGGTTTACTCATTTATTATACAAGTAAACTGATGTCAGTCTGCACTTACTAATGTAACACTTTTGGCATGATTTGTTGATATTACAGTTAGGTCATCAGTCTTGTGTAGATTTTGTTTTCATGTTCCTTTCCTTTTTAGGTTCACTGCATTAGCACAGAATTCACCATGCGGAAGCATGGCGGAGAAAAGGGCGTGCCTTTCCGCATCCAGATTGACACGTTTAAGGAGAACGAGAATGGAGAGTACACAGAACATCTTCACTCTGCCTCCTGTCAGGTCAAAGTCTTCAAGGTCAGAGGAATGATATGGAAAAAGAGAAAATCTGAAATAAAATCTTTAATGCACCTCAGTGCAAATGTTGTATTTGGTCCCTGTGGTAGTGCTGTCCATATTCACCATCTTTATTTCCTCCACTTGATGTGTTCTAGCCTAAAGGTGCAGACAGAAAGCAGAAGACGGACAGGGAGAAGATGGAGAAGAGGGCGCCACAGGAAAAGGAAAAGTACCAGCCTTCCTATGAAACCACAATCCTGACAGAGGTAAGCATATAAGAGCTCAAAGCAGTAATCACTGCTTGGATAAAAGTAGTTTAAAGGAAATCAAAATGAATTTTAACTTAATCTAATTAATTAGACTGCTGATGTTAGCCTACTGTCAAACTATATTATGTACTTATTTTAAAAGTAACAAAACATTTTTTCTAAGCATAACCAGAGAATGTTTTTGTGATAAATCGGTTATCAAAAGAAATAACTCTTAGTTTTTTTTTCTTGAGGTGACTAATGAGCTTGTCATTTTAACCTCAGAATTTGAAAAGTATTTACTGGGAAATAACAGGTGATTTGACACTTGCGGAAGAGACACAGACACAGCGAGACACAAATGATGTGGAATCATCCATCTTTTAAATCCATTTTCCTAAGCACTTAAGGAGTTTGGCTCAAATTCAGTTTAATTGAAACCTAAGATCAAATCTACTGGCAGCAAAAAATACTGGTGATGTATGTAGACGCTACAGTAACACAAATGTTGGGTCTTTTATAGTGCTCTCCCTGGCCTGAGGTCACATATGTCAACAACTCCCCATCTCCTGGCTTCAATAGCACCCACAACAGCTTTCCAGTGGCTGAAGGGTATGCTGCCTGGATTACTTTAAAAATCACTATGAAATCCATGTAGTGGCCTTATTTGTTTAGTAAGGGCAACACATGAGGTCTACGTTTTTCTTAATGTGGAGTTTGTTGTTATTGCTTCTTTCTAACTGACAAATTTTTCATCCTTTGTAGAAACGGGTCACCAAACCACCAGCCTGAGCCTGTTGTTCAGGTGGCAGATGTAAGTTCATTTTTAGTTTGTGGATTTATTTGGATTTATTTTACCGGCTGCTTACCTCCTGCCACACCAAGCAACTGCATTTTAATAAGCTCAAATGCAAAGCTGACATCTGGGTGTTAAACTTCTGCCTGGGATGAGATTCATTAGCAAGTATAAAATATGACTCAGTGTGTAACTAGAAAGCATTTGATATATATCTGATTTGAGTCATATATATATGTCAGATTCAGATATGATGTAGCTCATCGTGCTTATATCTAAATAGTTTTTGAAATGAGTTTTACCTGTCTCTAAAATCCTGCCTTTTAAGGTAAAATCCAGCAGCTCTTGATAATCTTCATTGATGTGTGTTTACAAATTTAATTTTTTTTATGTTTTACAAATTGACTTGATGGGGTAACCATGGTGACACGGTCTCTGACACGGTTGCATATGTCCGAGTATTTTGATACTACTTTTTTCTTTTTCAGAATTTGTTACCAACAGCAACACCACAGGATGCACAACAGTGGCTTCATAGAAACCGCTTCTCGCCTTTCTGTCGACTCTTCACTAACTTCTCAGGTAATATGGTTACCCCTTTGGTCATATCATAAGATAAAAGGCTGCACTTTAATGTGAAACTAGAAAGATATTTTCTGGAAATGTACTCATTTATTTAAATAGCACCTTGTTATATCCAGAGGTTATTCAGAGTGCTTTACTGAAGGAGACAGGGTAAAAGATGACAAGACAATTTGAATTATAATTCATAGATTTAAAAACTATGTAAAAGCAACTGTGTGTTTGTAGAGACTGAGAATAGGATCTGCTTTTGTGTACCAGGGGTAGACCTGTTGAAGCTGACCAGGGAGGATGTTATTCAGATCTGTGGGCCAGCTGATGGTATAAGACTCTTCAATGCACTTAAAGGACGGTGGGTTATATTACATTTTCCTACCTTCTTTGGATATATAATTTACCTAATTTATAAAAAAGTATGAATGTTTTTAGGCATCTGCATTTTAGTTGTTTCTCTCTTTGAATTCAGGGTGGTACGTCCAAGACTCACCATCTATGTTTGCCAGGAATCTCAGCAGGCACGGGAACAGCATCCGAAACATGAAAATGGAGATGCTTCTGCCAGCGCTTTCTTTGGTCAGTGTATGTTCAGGGTCAAATTTAATCATTATCTTTGTTGACGTCCAAACGTTTTTTTTTTTAATCTAATGAATTTCCCTTTGGGATTAATAAAGTTTTTCTTATTCTCTTTTTTTAATTTTTATTTTGAGGGGCCTCAGTCACACTAGAGTAAAGCTAGGATTGCAACCTCCTCGTAAACAGGAAAAACTGGTGGTTGGCGAGTGATTGCACTAAAAAAAATTTTATGTCTGGGACTGTTGCAAGTAGTTGTCACAACCAACTGTTGACCACTTTAATTCAAGGCAAATGGAAATGTTGCCAGGTTTGAGGAAGCCTTCTTCCAAACCATCTTTGTCGGACTCATACTGACTGGAGAGTCTCAAAAGATTGGCAAGGATGTGCAAAAAATTGTTGTCTAAATTTTAAATGCAGACAGAATGCTAACACAATGATCTCAAACCTGGTCTGTCTGTTCTAAATGACCATTTCCATAAGCAGGCTGATAACAAGTTGATTGCACGTGGTGACAAAACTTTTGGTCATGTAGCAGTCTGTCCACTGTTATTCTAGTCTACTGTAGTGACTGTAGCCTAATATTAAGGATCTAAACCATTCACAGGTGCCCAGCCAGGAAATAGCCCCGCACTATTATTCTTCTGAAGTCTAAGCAACAATTATGATTTAGTTTTGCTATAATTGAGCATGCCTAATATCTAGTGAGCGTCCTTTGTTGTTTAGCTTGTGTTAACCTTTCTGTTTCTCTCTCTGCAGTATATCACGCCATTTACCTGGAGGAACTCACGATTACAGAACTGACAGAGAAAATTGCTCATCTGTTCAGCATCTCACCCAGGCAGATCAATCAGATCTTTAAACAAGGCCCTACTGGCATCCATGTGCTGGTTAGTGATGAGGTAAGGCAATCCCCCTCTTATGATCTTATTGTGAGTTGAAGATTTGTACTTTTTGAATCAGTAGAGACTTGCTGTTATTATATATGAATTCAAGCACAGGGTTTTCCCAGGAAAACTGGTAGATCTTGTGCCTGGGGTGGGTTGGGTTGATTGATTTGGTAAAATTAAATGTTGCACTGGATCCATGTAGCTAACTCTGATGTTAATTGCTAATAGTGCAGTTGCACAGACAGAATAGTGGAGCTGTGTAAATGTACCCATATTCACAGGAGAGAGGAACAGGAGGATGCAGGAGTTTTCCTGCATGAAAATATATACACACAAACCATTAGGAGAGCAACAAATCACATTTAGTCTGCCTTAATTAGTGGATTGATATTAACAGGACAGGCAAATGTTTTTAAAAAAGTAGAAAAGAACCAGAAGATAATAACACAACTTGTTAACTTCTTTAAAGTTTTTGTTCTCATACTTTTATACAGTTTTATTTATTTATTTATTTTTTAATGCTGCCTGGCTCAAATGACAGTCATTTGTGAGTTTCAACATGGGGTTATTTAACCCATGTTAGAAGACACCCTGATGTTATGGAAATATGTTAGGAAAGGTTGGATCACGTTATTGGCAAACAAAGAAAACAACTAAGGATACTGCTTAAACTACTAAAAGTGGGTTAAAACCTGTCCAACGCTTTGTTAAAAACTGGAAGGATAGTGGTGAAACACCATCTTGGAGAAAGAAGTGTGGTTGGAATAAATCCTGAATGTTTGAAGATCAATGGGGGAAAAACAGCAGTGGAATAGACAGCTATGTTTTAATAGTGAAAGTAAAAGCATTTTCCCACAATGCAAAGAGAACTCAATGAGTTATAACTGAACAGCTGTGTAGCCTTAAAATAACTACTCAGTAGTGATGCTAATTAGTAGGGCTGCAACTAAAGATTATTTTGGTAGTCGACTAATCTGCCAATTTCTTTTATTAGTCAATTAGCCAATGATTATAACTCTTATCTCCACTAAACTAAACAAAACTAAAATTGGCTTCAGTCTATAAGTTCAAATACAGCTTCGAATTAAATTAAAAAGTTTGTTTTCCAGTCCAAAAAAACATTTTCTAAAGTTTACAGATGATTCGGTTCATGAATTCATGAATGCAGTGGACATGATCTGGAGTGAGGCTTGCTCTTGTTTTTGAGATGATCTTCTCAGCTGCAGCTGATACCATGCGGCCATTTGAGAGGTGCACAAGCCTCTTTTAAGGACAAACTCATCTATACGCCTGTGCTTAATACTAGTAAAACAGAATTAGAAAAGATTGTTATATCATAGTTTCTCAGATGGTGTAGTACTCAATGCCAATGAACCTGTTTAACTGATTATAAATATAGTTATTTAATGATATAGTCCAACCCACAGATTAACTACCTAACGTTAGATGGAAGAGGTTTACTATAATATTAATGTGAGGAAAAAAACTAGGAAGTAGTTTAGCTACTCCTGTTTAATGGTTTACTATCAGATTGAACTCAATAGCTAACAAAACTAAAATGTTGTTTGCTTAGAAAGTATCATCCTAAGAAGTTTCTGACAACTGAGCTAACATAAACATTACTGTACAAACACTAACATAAACAATGTATCAACGCACTAACTTAACTCTCTAAAACTGTCAAACGCCAGCTCCAGGGCGCCAGCGTTTTAAATGCTTGTGCACTGCAGTAGTGCTGTCTGCTTTGCACTATCTTTGTTTGTTTTCTGGGAAATTATTTTACATTTAAAAAAGAAAGTTTCTATTTTCTTCTATCCTCCTGTTTTGCTGTTTGCGCTACGTTCTTCTTTGAAAGTGTTGAGTGCATCCTTGGAAGACAATATAAGTGATAGTGTCCCCATAGCTTCCTGTAGTCTATTGCAGTTACAAAAACACATTTACTTGGCATTAGTATATAACACGTGGAAAATTGAATTCCACATCAGTTTACAAGGAAACATAAAGATGGGACTCTGGAGCAATAAAAAAAAAAGATCATGTGGTCCGCTGAGTACAGATTTACCCTGTTCCAGAGCGATGGGTGCCTTAGGGTAGGAAGACATGTGGATGAAGTGATGCACCGATCAAGACTAGTGTCTACATTACAAGCTTGTGGATTCAGGATTTAGGTCCAGAGTCAGCTGACTACCTGAATCTATTGAATGACTACATTTGTTTTCATCAGCGGATTTTGTTTTTTCATCTCTCTGATAGTACAGCATATTCTGAGATGACAATGCCAGTATTCATGAGGCTCAAATTGTGAAAGAGTGGTTCAGACAGCGTGACACATCATTTTCAAACTCATCCACATCTTAACCCGAGTGAGAATCTTTGGGATATGCTGGGGAAGACTTCACACAGCGGTCCGACTCTCTCATCATCCATACAAGTTAAAAAAATGAATCCAACTCTGGACAAAACTAAATGTTGCATTACTTAACCCGATCGAAATGATACCACAGTAAATATGTGTTGTTATAAAAGCTAAAAGTTGCCCAATTCATTTTTAGACTATGACTTTTTCCCCCCTTTTGTTGAGGGAGCCAGGCAGTACATATGTAAAAACAGCCAATTGAAACAGTTGGCTAATGACTTATCAGTTGTAGCTTTTTGTTTGTCTTAAAAGATTTTCAAAGAAAGACAGAAATATGGTCAACTTAAGGTCTCAAGAGCTTACACAAGCATAAACCTGCAAACGATATTGTCTTTTTCCCACCTGCATAATCCTTTCCTCTCCTCTCAACAGATGATTCAGAATTTCCAAGATGAAGTTTGTTTTGTTTTGGACACGATGAAAGGTATGACTGTGGCAGCAAAGAATGATAGTTTATCTTTATCTGTATTTACCGTTATAGTCTTGCTGCAAGTTTATCTTAGTGTGTTTCCCTGATATTTTTTATTTTTATTTTGATTCCTATTCCTTTCTTTTTCAGATGACACAAGTGACGGCTACCATATAATCTTAAAGTGAATCCCAGGCAGGAGAGTTGTCGAGTCCTTCTCTCTTGTTTAGTCCTGGTTCAGTCAGCCCCTCTAGAGCTTTGTACTTTTTGCTGTTCC